ACTTAAAATGACTGAATCGCAAAGCTTAATTTTAGTATCTTGGGCCAACACGTGCTTAAAGCTGTAGATGCTTTTTAGTTTAGCAAAAGAGCTCTGTACAACCTTAGAAATATGATGATGATTATAGTTTAGTGTTTTTAGTTACTGTTCTTATAATAATCACAGATATACATACTGTATTCATAACCACTACAAACAGCGTGAACCCACAATTCGCACATTGAGCACTACCTATTCCAAACTAAGAACATGAAATCCTTAACTTAAAATTTCATGTGACATTTTTAATTCTAAATATATTCACAAAATGAAATTAAAATTGTAAACTTAGAAGGACACATAGCAGTTCAAATAATTGCAATGAAGATTTTACGTGTCATAGTAAATGATTGTCAATGATGGCGTTCTTACCGAAAAAGTTATCAAAGTAGACGCCTCGCTCCCGTAGCTGGTAGCAGGAAATGTTAAGATGGCATCCTGTTTTTAGTACTTGTAGTTTCGTGTGATTTACGACATTATATTCACGGCAAAAAATACCGATAGCGTTTACATTTATTTAGATAACTATGTGTTTCAAGTTACCAGAAGTATTCCAAATATGCTGCACTTCCTGCATAGATGTGACTGTGAAAAACGTAAACTTCCATTTTGCGGCGCCGCCATATTGGATTTAGAATTACGTCACTTCGCTCACTGTTTTCCTGATCAGGTCCTTCCGTTTAATACCCATATCGTAGGAGCTACTTTGGAAATTATAAATCGTCATTTTGTAACAGGCGCCAAAATGGCAGCAGTAAATTCAATTTGTATTGTCACGCGAACCAAGCGTGTGTACAAACGTCCAGCTCAGTTGCTAACTGTTCAAAATTGAGTTTCGAGATTTGTACCACACACACAACAAAGAGATAGCTTGTTAAAAATGTTTATCCAATTTCTTATCAAAAAGTAATTTCTACACAAAAAAAGCGCAAGTCAATCATTCAACAGATCAAAGAAGGCAGGTTTGTTGGCACTGCCTCAAGGGATGTAGTGCCAGACGCTTACAGATTGCGAACAATTCGGTGAACTAACTTGCAGCATGGGAATAAAGTTGCATTTTCTGCATTTTTATATTGGCCTCTTTCCTGAGAATCTTGGAGCCGTAAATGCAAAACAAGGTGAGCGCTTCCACCACGATATTAATGTTACGAAGAGTCGGTACCAAAGAAGATGGGAGAGAGAAAAATCTTTTTGATTTGATTAGTCTTTTTTCCATGATTTTCAACTGCTACTTTTGGTTTTTTAAGCAAACATTTGAAATTCAGTAATTTTTATTTATACATGAACGTTAAAAATTGGTATATGCATGACTTCAATAAAAATTAATCTCTATACCAGGTGTTTCAAATTCGAACCTCACAATTGGGATCTCGGAAATAGTAGGAGATACGAAGTGGCTTAAATGGGTGCAAAGTTTTGAAATCCAAAATACGTCCGGAGAGAGACAGAAAGTAACGTACTTTCCCAAAATCATTTTAATATTTTCCTGACTTTATTTGTAGTGGGATTTTAAAATGAATTGTTCATTAACATTGCCACTTTTTCTCCTGTGCAAGATGGTATAATTACAATTTCAATATGACGTTTCGATTCCTTTTTTCTTAACAACGCCATCTTAGATTCTTACACAGATGAATAGTTTTTAATTCTGATTCCCAAAATTAATAATATGTCATACATTGAGTTTGCCAAACATCAGTTATTCTAGAAAAATAGAGGTTCCTAAATAGGCCTTGAAATTATCAGATAGTGATTTCTTTCGTATACCAGACCAGGCCTCAAATTGAACATAGTAACAGAATTTGGAAGACTGAGAAGAAAGAAAATAAATCGAGCAGTAAACAATTCACAGAGAATAGTCAGATTTTGCCTACAAGATAATGGACACCATTTTAGACATCAGTTATGATTTATCTCTGCTTACTTATGATTATTATTGTTATTAGCGTCAACAAAATTTTCATTTTGTGCTCATGTTTCATCATATCTTTTTATTTCCATCCAACAACAAGTTAAACTAAGGAAATACATTACTGAATTTCGGATTGAAAAGTATATTTAAACGTACAAAACTCCAGTATAGTGTCCATATGAAAAAACAAAGTGAGTGATGGAAGTCGAAAGAAGAAGGAAGCTTGCATTGATAATGTGACTACCATCTTGCAGAGAAGAATAAGTAACACTGACAACGTGCCATTTATTTTGGAATCTCGTCTGTAAGTCAGAAAACAACAAAAATGATTTTTTGGTATGCCAAACAAATGATTATCTGATAATTTCGATGCCTACGTAAGGAATTTTGCTTTTTTGGAATAACTAAGGCTTGGCAATACTAAAAACAGTCTTTATATGTGCAAACATTCAATATGACATTTATAATAACAAATAAAGTTGATGATGGAAAATACAAAACACGTTGTGGACTTCGTGTGTTACTTTTTCCCTCTCCATCTTCGTTTCCTCAGGTTACACCCGTATTCGGATGTATGGGCATGTGTATCTACTTTTGTAGTTGCATATGTGTAATCATTTCGGGCCTGATGAAGCCAACCAGCAGAAATAACTATCGCTCGGGTTTGATATCTCTCTGCTCGAATCCACTTCCCTTCTTTTTGCGGATTTTGCCCATTATTTTCCTATATAACTTTGAAGTTGAGTCATTAATTTTCAGATAATGATTGTAGAAGGAAGATAAATCAAAATATGTGTGTAAAAATAAAAAAAAAATAAAAAAAAATGTTACCTTGTTTTATAAAGTATCCTCCCGACAAGTATTTCAGTGCGGACCTGTATTTGATCGTGCGGTCTTAAAGTACCGGCATGCCCTCCCCTGTGAGGTCTTAAGTCACCTGATTCACGAGCCCTTTGTACTACATTCAGCATTTTCGTAAACATGTGCCATTTTTATTTCGTTTGAGCCACGCAACAAACACCACTATTCACTCACGCGTTACCGACTGACACATCGACTAAATACAACTGAATAAAATTGTACATTGTAGTAAAAACATCGTTTCAAATTCTTTCGCTTTTTTGTTTTCGATGCGATGAACGGATAAGGCGGATTATATCCGTTGTTGCCAAACACGAGCACATAATATTATTATTGAGACAGGGCGGTACTCAAACTTCTAAAGGGCTATAACTTTGTTACTTTAATTTTACCAGAAAAATGTCAAAGGAAAAAAACATTTCTTTTGATCAAATCTACTCACTGTTAAAATAAATGACTCAACTTCGAAGTATATGTCAGGAAAAAAAATTAAAACGAAAAATTTGAATTTCGAATTTTGTTAAGCGGCACTCTATTAATTACTCTAATACGCAATTTTGCCTCCCATTTGAACGATTTCGTATGTCTTACAGCTTCCGAGATACCAATTATGTGTGTCGGATTTTAAACACCCGGGATGTTAGAAAAAAGACAAGGCTGTATTTTAATTTCATTACCATTTAAAAAGTAACAACCATTGGCAGCGCAAATAAAAAGTTTATATGCCTGCGATCTGTTTTATTAATTTTAATTAAAAGTACTGCGTGCACAATACTATCATCGTTAATACGTATGTAACGCTCAACAAATTACCCAATGACAATGCTTCCTCGATTATGAGTGAAGCTTTATTACGATTATTAGCCTGGGATTAAAATCATCTCTAAACAAGCAGAGTAAAGTGAAAGGAGTCCATGAATAACAAATATAACATTTTGGAAGCAACACCGACAAACAGAATGCATGCCGCATAAAATTGCTTCAATTCGCAATTTTGAAGGTAAAGTTTATTTTCCTTTATCATTCGCACTTTTATTTATACGCAGCATTTTATACTTTTTGGTATTCAAATACTTTGTTAGGGGGAGTGGAAACTTTACAAACCAAACACATCGTTAGGGTGGCTTTTTTCCGACTTCATTCAAGGCAGTTTCCTTTTCAGGGAGTTTCCAGAGCATTGTTTGTGTTACGGTATGGGGAGAATATAATGTTTGCAAATATACGTTTTTTTTCGAATAAGGGAGAATCGCTGACATGAAAAAAGTCAGAATGGTGTAGACTTTTTCACAGATAAGCATTGTGGCGTGATATACAAATATGATTTTTTGAAAGACGGGCTTATTATTTATTCAACCCAAGGCAGCAGTACTGACTGACGTAACGTATCCGTTATATTTGACATCTTCTTCATTTCACAATTTCTAAGGATATGTGTTCCCCAGCGCTTGGCTTGAGTCCTAGAACTATTGCCTCTAGATATATACTAACGGTGTCCTCTTCTGACGAAAAATGTTTTACATCGGTGCAAAATCTTCTTTGCTTTTAAGGCAGGGCAATTAAGCTAGAGGGGCTTGAATATTTAAATTTTCCGATAAATTTATGAGATGAAAGTTCATAACTTTGAGATTTAATCATTTTGCTTGACCTCACCTTCAATCTACCCTTCGATCTCCACAAAGTGGTATCTCAAGTTCAACGAGTGTACCTCTATAAATATACAGGGTATCCAAAACGTAAGGTTATATCAAAATACTAGGGCATAAATTGTCCGCATTTTGCATTTCAGGAATTGAATTGAATGTAGATAATTTTCCTTAAAAATTAATTTCATTTTCAAATGACCTTTATTCTCACAGTCAAGGTCACGGCACTATTGGAACATAAAGTGCACTCTACATTACCCGTGTCAAAATTAAGAGTTTCCATTTGAGGACTTTTAAATGACGGTCATAGCCCAGGTCACGTTCAAGGTCACCATTTTTAAATATTTTGTCCTTTAGATACTTTCTGGATACCCTCAAATATCCAAGTAGGTTGAGGTCAAGGTCATGGACAAAAATGTACTTGAATGTAGAATTTCCAACTCTACATTCCCGGTGTCAAAAATTGGTATGTTCACCATATTCTGCCATTGTTTAAAATCTGCCGCAATCGAATGTCTAGACTGAAGTATATCCTTTTGTTTCAGGTATCTTTAGCAGTGTTCCCGCCTCCACCCGAGTTCTCAACAGGCCCCGCCAGCCTAGGCGTGGGGGTCCCACCCTTCGGCAACATATTCATCGCCGTCTCAGTAGGCCGGGATCCAAACACTGACCACGCCCACGGTAGGCGTGATCTAATAGACGTAAGTGGGCGGCCCGATCTTTTGGATTTGTCGCACAGAAGCGTGGGGACAGCCACCTTGCCCCGACGGAGGCCTCCTTCGACGGTGCAGTTGCCCCATTACGACAACATGGGACCCCGGGTCACCGCAGGAGGTAACTCCACCCTCTCCTTGCCAGATTGTGACCAGGAGGTGCTACCGCCACCAGTACCCCACCAGTTGATGCTTCAACCGTACGTGGCGCCTCCTCAAAGAAGTTCAGAGTTTGTTTCTCTTTAAGATACGGTTTACACGAGCGGTTTACTGTAGATTGCGAGTCCCTTTTCGAATATAGGAGCTATTTGTTATCGGTAGACATTAACGGAGTTGAACGGTGGGTAACCACGAGCGAGTAAGCAAATTGCCGATATATCAAGTTGAGGGTAATTGGGAAGGGTAGTATACGGGGTCATTTGAATGGCACTCCCACGAAGGGGATATTAGAACCATAACAAGTACAGTTTGCTAAATCAGAGAAAGATGCCTTACTGCGGTGCTTTCTTCGCTACCTCGAATTTTATTGATATTTCTACATAGATGCTGACTCATGCCCGATCGGAATGAGTGGAATCTTGAAGCAATAGTATATCCCTCCTCGATGACAGTGAGGTAAAAATATTCCTTCTTCTTCGTGGTTGACAACGAGTAAGCGAAGGTCTTGAATCATGCGTTTGTTTCACATCACGAGGACATCGAGGTAGCGAAGTATCGCAGCAGTGTTGCTATACTTATTGATTTTTCTGCATTTTTATCAAAATTGGACCTTATTTAACGAACTCACTTTCCAGAATTCTTCAAGATAATCCAGATTTTTTATGCTAAAAGAGTTGGAACAAAAATTGGCCTAAATGAATTTTCGGGAAGTCGGGCACACGAGGGACCTAGATTTGGGTTGCCTTTAATTATGTACGCAGATCTCGTACTCCGTTGCTCCTGTATTGATTTTTGTACGTGCAACAGGTACAGGTCGTAGATCGCCGTCATTACCGCGTTACCGGACAAAGCAATAAGGAAAGCAAAGCTCGTCTGTTTTTAGTTAAATATTAATTTGGAATGTTAGGGGACAAAATTCACGTTCAGGGGTGGAACAGAAAAATATACTGGAGAGCATAACTCTAGCCCCACCAACACTTTTCAGTTTTTCTGTAGTTGATTCAAATGTAATTTAGTACTGTTATAATTTTTTTGTTGAATAAACTGCATATTTATTGCTTTTGTTTGTTCTATTATCACTGTCAATTATACTAAGTTACAATTGAGTGAGCAAAAGAAAGCTGTGTGGCTATAGTTATGTTTATTTACAATACTCTAAACAAAAATGCGTAAAGGAGAGAGGACAGAGAGAGCAAAGATAGTTGCAGACGAGCTTGAAGAGCTAAAAAAACATGTGTTGTGTGAGCTCGCTTAATGCAAAAATATACTTTTTTCATACACAGCGGTGCGCAACGCAAATGCCCTTGATCTACTACTGATCTTGCAGTGGCCTTGATTCGTCTTTCTACTTATTTTGTCCTCAAATTCACCGAATTTAAACGACACTTTCTACCAATTTCGACCTTTTCGTTTCGGTATTACTTCATCGCGGTAAGCATCTTCCATGTTAACTTAACTTAACCCTTAAGGACACATTATATGTACGTAAAACGTCGCTCAGTTTTTCGTGATATTGTAATGGAAGAGGTACTTTGGTGAATTTTGGCATGGTGTCTCGTTAAAAAAAAGATTGGAACGTCTCAGAAGTACCGGGCGTCCAAATTGCAGTTGCATTAATTTCTTTGAATTTTTCCACTAAACTTTCATTAGCCTCCCCTTTTTTATCCCTGTCACTATACTCCTTGGATTTGATACGCCTAATGCATGTGAAACCTTCGTATGATGCAATAAATTCTTTGAGAAACTCGCGAGAATATTGTCGCCTGGCGAATTGAAACTGAGGAACGAAATGAATCGGAAGACGGTGCTACCGTCTACGTGCGCCGACTTGTCCGCACAGTTCAAGGATACGTATGCTCTTTCGCTTAGTTATCGCTGCAACTGTACCGTCTTCGCGCCGGATTCAAATCTGCACACTTTTTCAATCTACACGCAACGTTTTATCTGCCACGTATTGAACTGTGCAGACAAAAGGTTGTGCAAAACGTAGCGTCTAGACCTGGCTTAACGAATAACTGGCATTCCTATAGGACAAACTGCACAAACGACAATTTCTAATGGAGATTGACGTACACGATTCCCAATAGGACAATAACGTTTATGTGTAAATGCCAAAATGGAGCGGTCGATTAAAGGCCGACATTCAGCGATGTTCCAAATGGTTTCGCGACACATACACTTATGTTTCTCGGGTATGACGATTCTGATAATCCTAATAGAGTAAGATCCCAGAGCTGTCGGATATCAATTGTTTTCTGAAGCCAACACGTGGACCATTGCTTCTGTTTGGATGTACTTTGAACGCATAGATACTCGCCAAATTGGTTAATTGTCCGACTTGCTGGTGCCAGGTGAGAAAGGTGAAGTAAAAATAAAAGTAACTTCAATTTATATGACTGGTGTTTATACCTATTTTATAAAATATTATTACAAAGCAATATTCAGCACTATCGGACACTTGCCATCAGCCATAACTGCTAGACGCTTTAAACAAGGTGTCATATCGAATATTTTTTTGAACGGGACACTATTTGATAGCAATGACACGATATAGACAAAAAATACATTGCATAAAAAAATTAATGTTAGATTCTATAACTTATGTATGGAACATCTTTTTTTTATAAACGCTTATGAATACAAGAAAATTAGAGGGAAGAAAGACAATTTATATTGCGATAGCGTTTGGCAGACCAGCCAGAAGTATCTGGTAGTGCTGTATATTACCTGTTAAAGTTTAACAAAGTCATCAGAATTTGTAAAGCTGTTCTTATTTTTCCTTAACATTTCTGACCCGCTACCAGAAAAGCGGACCAATATACAACTTAGCAGGTAGACAGTTAAAGAGCGTATACACGCAGTTTGATGCCTCACGACGTGTCTCTCAGAAAATAAGAAATGTCTGGTAGTCCTGGGATCTTAGACTGTAATTTGGATCTCCAAGTTCAATAACCCTAGGTTATGGGTGACGATTGTGAATGAAGAGCTTAACGTGGTGGTCATGAGATTGAGCAGCAGTGATATCGAATTCGTCATCCAACCGTCGTGCTTAAAGCAAGCGCTTTAAAAGCGCGTTAACTTCGTATGTTAAGCATCCGTCAACATAAAAAGACGCGCTACTTTTAGTGTTATGATAGCATCTAACTGATATATTGGGTCTCATGAATAAAACGTAGCAAATGCTTTCACTTCAAATTCATGAAGCAAAACCTTCAAAGTATATGATAAATAAAGTTAGAGCACATGCTTTACCACCGAAGGAAAAGCATTTGCTGCACCATAAGCAAATACTTCAGATTGTATGAATAAAATCAAGCTTTTGCTAGGGATCTATAGCACAGACTTCGTTTTTCTGAAGGTATCTCCATTCAGCTCTAGTGCAGACTTCGCGTTCAGGAAAGAGACACGTTTGTGGTAATTATGGCGTTTCTAAATAATCTAAGAGCCGTAAAACGTTACAAAAGAATGGTAAAGACATCACCTAATGACTTTAAGTGCCTTTATCGCTCCAATGAAGCAAACGTGCGTTGGTTAGCCAACCATTTCTTTGGTTACGAGACGACGGAGGCACGTGGTGGTGCATTACCACCGTTTCTGAAAATGAAAGTGTTTTTGCGGTATATCGCTGATCCGCGTTACCAACACGGCATGGGGGAAATCATTGGAGTTCACCAAAGTATTGTGTCGAAAACAATAGCTGAAGTAACGGAAAAAGTCTGGCAGAAAGCACATCTGTGGATCAATTTTCCATCTTCCAATGAGGAATGACGTTAAGCCCAGCGTCGTTGGCATGAGATTTATATGTTTCCAGCCGCAGTTGGAGTTGTGGATTGCACACATGTTCGTATTCAAAAGCCTTCCCAATTTGGAGATGAATGTATAAACCGAAAACGTTTTGCGAGCATCAATGTACAATGGCCCGGTTCTACCCATGACAGTAGAATCTGGAAAAGGTCTAACATTTGTGCCGTTATGCGTCCCAATGCAGAACAAGCTTTGCTCCTTGCAGATGAAGGGTATGGAATAGAGCGCTGTTTAATGACTCCCTATCGAATTCCAAATACACCACAAGAGATCCGGTACAATAATTTGTTGAAGAAGGAAAGAGCTTGTATTGGACAGGTGAAGCAAAGATTTTCCATACTGCAATATAAAACTCAAGTGAAGCTTACAAACATCCTAAAACTAATAGTTTGCTGCATTATTCTACACAACATCGCAAAAACACTAGGCGATCCCGACTTCGAATTGGAAGAAGTGCAGCTTAATAATGAGATAAATAACCCTGTTGAACAAAATGCGGACGACGACTTTAACAACATTAAGAGAATTGGAATGCGAAGACGGGAGGAAATTGCCCATCTCATTTTTCAACAGGGTAATTTGAAAGTTATACTTGGACGGCATTTTGCAGAAAGGAACTAACCCACAACGCAAACCTTATTGAGTAATTAGGCTTTCGAGTTTTGACAATATTAAAAAATTCATCATAAATTAAAAAAAAATTAATCAATGCCATCTTAAAGGTGTATATAATAAATAACTAAAATCTTTAAAGGATATAATGCATTATTTTTATGAGATTTTCCTATTCTTAGTAGGTTGGTTTCTTCCTGCAAAGAGCCGTCCAATTATAATCCAAGACCTGGAACATAAAATTTATTAAAAATATAACAAATATCATAAATACAAAACTTAAGCACAATCTGAGAGGAGGATTACAAATTTTGTGTACATTTACTAATGAAGAACAATTATTTCAACATAAATATCGCACTCTCAAAGTACGGTGTATACACGTTATCATGTTCTGTAACTAACTCCTTCTCAGGCTCATTCTCTTCTAACTCTCGTATCAACTTTGTTTTCTTTAACATCAAGACTTCCAATTGTGCTAACAAAACTAATCTCTGTAATTCAGCCGTTGATAGGTTTTGTGTTTCCGATGTCTCTAAAGGACAAGCTTTGCAATTGCTCCATTTTTATTCATCAGACCCATTATTCGAATGCTACAGATGCTACGCGTTAAAAATGTCTAGAAAAAGGCACATTTTTTTGTTATTGTACGGTATAGTACGAAACGCTGTTGTGGAGGCTGCTATATACATGAAGTTTGGATGACGAATACGATGACGCTGTCGATCAACATCATAGAGGCCGCGATGAGCTCGTCATACAGAATCGTTCCACAACAGAAATTGATGAAGAATGTAGAGGCTCATACCTCGATGTGGGTGGTTCTACAGAATTAAAGCAACTAAGAAATGAATTTTCGCGGAATTAATTTGTTTACACAAACCTTAAAAGCGCGATACTTTTAGCGTTCATTTGGCATTTCATTACAACGTCGACATGGGAAGAATTTGAAATTTTAAGCGTTTCTGGAGATAAAAAAGCTGGAACTTACTCATATCGTTTTCTGTTTTTATATTTTATCATTTCGGAGGGGAGCAACCAGTGATGGCGCATCATGTAAAATATTCATCATTGTATACGAGTATCCAATTGCAATTGTGTATGTCTTGATATTCATGTACAGACTGTATAAACAATTGAGACAATGTATAAAATAGCAAATATGTGTTCTGTTAGGTTGCTTGCACATATGCAACGCCTTTACATGTGATTTTTGAATAATTAGAAAAGATATCTATTCATTATATATACAGTGTCGTTACAGTTTCAAATGAAACAGGAACATTTCTCAAATACAATAAATTATTAAATAATTCTGGAAACAAAATTCAGCCATTTGACTGGTTTCACTTAGCACCGTCAGCATCGTCAGGTCAATATTTAGATTGGCAAGGTCGTTGTTTGGTCAATCAATCAAGAGTAACACATACTTGTTACCATATTTTTTGATTTGATTTTGTGCTCATATTAGGCAAGTACAACTCGGTAAAATAGTACGTCGATAGCCGCATACTACGATACAAGAAAAAAATTAACTTACCTGTACGAATTTAAGTGACATCTGAATTAGACAACTTGTTCCTACAGATGCAGTACTCGATAGTATATTTTCTTAAATCGTTGAGAAAAATGAACCATAGCTCATATTTTTAGCGCGATCAACGATACAGTTTCTATAATTTCTGGGTTACTGATGTTTTGATGTTTGTGAGTAAATCTAATCTCACTTATTGCTATTCTATACATTGTCTTCATCATTGTATACGTAATGCTTTCATTATATATGCATTTGATGCATTGTCTATGCTTTGTCTACATCGACACGAGACAATCAATGTATACACGTAGACGCTCATCACTGGGAGGAACTACGTATCTTGATGGCCGCCTATGCCCTTCCTTAAAACGTACACAACCGAATTGGGTCACAGTCTATTGAGGAAAGAGAAAGAGACAATCATGATTCAATTTTATGTTACGCAGTTTTTTTGGCCTCCCCTTGTTATTTTCTTTTTTAGTGAAGAGAAATTTCCCATTTTACCCGGGTGTTCCTATTACCAAGAAACTGACAAATTATGGGAGGTAAAATTTGTTCTAACCACTATATTTACTTTAAACTGTTTTTAAACGTAATAACATCTAAGACAGCGGTTTCAGAAGTTCTATATTGGTTCACCATTTTTTACAGAATGATTTACATTTTTCCGCCTTTGGTTAGTTGCTAAAGGCCTCCTCATTTTATAGACGCTTGAGAGTGAATGCAGGAGTCCCATTTCCATGTGAGGTCTCCTTATTACTTCTGTAAACGTAAAAACCAAAATGAGTAGGCTAGACGAAAGTAGCGAATAAGAAAACCTTGTAGGTAACAAGCCGGTGGTTTCTTATTGACAAAGGCCGCCTTCGAAAAATATGTTTGACAACTCTGCTGTCAGTTGCACGTGTCAAGACTGTCAAGGCAAATAAGGCGTCCTTACCATAAGTTTGAAGTTAAGGAGCGGGCATGCATTCGGATTTACAGCTATAATTCACTTCTTCGAACATCAATGATAGATGCTGGTAAACCTTACTCGCTTGTAAATACAATTTAGTTATACCAAAGAATTTTTCAAACGACTTGAGATGTTTAAATATAGGAACATCGCATATCTGGGTGAAGTTCCTTTCTGTGTTCTACATCGAAAGTTTTAAATAGACTTGAGATCAACAACCTCTAACTGCTGAGAAGAAATTCTGGTCACATGTTCGTACCACCGACTGCAGACAAATATACTGCTACTTTATGTAACTCCTGAAACTTATATTGTGGTTTACATGTCCATAGGACTCCATTGTCTGGCAAAACTAAAACCCCATATGTATATATTCAGATTTCTGTTTATTGTAGGACGTTTTCACTGTGATTATTTTCAAATACAATTGACACTTCTCTGATCGTTTATTATGTTTTCTGCATTCCGGGTGACATTTCGTTTCTGTTTTCCAATATCGGTGTGTTGTGACAAGGGTACTGGGTGGGTTTTCGCGTTGTCAGAGGACTTTTGCCGTTTTCGGAACGACATACGAAGGTCACGTGTCTGGTACATTAAAAAACGCAGATAACTTCATGATCGCTTGTCGCTTTGGGGGCTGGACGTACTTTTGGGGCCGGAGATGCCTACCCCACGTGCTCTTGGGCTTTGCTGTTTTTGCGTGGTGCCATATGAAAATTGCAATGATGGCTTCGCTCAAGCTCAGCATGTAACAGGACCGAACAGACTATTGTAGTAATACGCTGTATACGAGCCCCTTCCCACTTCAGTTGGCCCACTTCAAGATTTGTACCAAAATATGCCTTTATAAACTAAACATGACGAAACTATTTACTTCTAAAACAATTTATTTTCTCAAAAACATTTTAGATACACTCTAGTCGTAAAAAACATATATTTTAAATCACTTAGACCTATAACTAATAGAACATCTGAACAAATAAACAGTGTGCGAATAAATGCGCGAAGTTAACAAAGCAGCAATTGAAAGATTACCATTATTTTTTATTAAAGCTGAAATTCTTTGGGGCATAGTGTTAACCAAGTTTTGGCAAAAATTTGGTGTAAAACAATCCCATATTTCTTCCAGCTTTTGTCTCAGTTCGGTGATTGTACGAGCAGGATGTTGTCGTAGAACCTTTTTCATCTCGTGCCACAAAGTTTCAATAGGTGACAGGTCTGGACTGCTAGAAACCCATTTCAAAAGGGGTACATTATTTTCTTCCATCCATTTTATAGCCTTTTTTGAGGTATGGCGCACTGCATCAACTTGCTGAAACACAAAGTCTTGGCCGGATATCAAACATTCTTCCATCACTGGTAAAAGCGATTCTTATAAAATTACCAAATATTTGTTTGTATCCACATTTCTATCAATAAAATGAAGATTTCCTACTCCTTTTGATGACATACTGCCCCAGACCATAATGGATGCTGGAAATTTCACTTTTCTATTCAGACAGTCAACATGGAATGCTTCATTTTTTTGTAAATAACTCTACTGCGACTGTCACGAACACAAAATTCGAATCGTGCCTTATCACTCCATTGTTGAGGTGTCCATTGTCTATGTTCTTTCCCATCCAAGCCGATTTTTCTTTTGCAGTGGAGTTAATAGTGGCTTTTCTTTGGCCTATAAACAGGTTGTGCAACTTTAGGGTTTTTACTTCACTTTTTTTATAAGAAAACTTACCTTGCAAGTGCTAAATCCCAGTTTGTGGGCCTTTCTATGAGTTGTGGACCTCGAATTTCTCCTTCCAACAGTGTCACTCCACAGAACACTTAATTGTAAATAATTGGCACGCCTGTTTTTCACGATTATTCTTCTTAATGCTCTTCTGTCGGCATTTGTGATATTACTTTTTTCCACATATCGTGGCTTAATATTAACCGAACCAGTTACGTTATATCTTCTAACAATATTTCTCACACTGTACCGCGATAAGTCTAACAAAGTTGCAATTTCTGAGTTTGATTTCCCAGAATTAAAAAATTTAATTATCAGTAACCGAATTTTCTCACTAATAACCTTTCCTCTACCCATTTTGAAAACCTTAACTACCCAAAACTATTTTAAACGTATTCTTACAGCTATGATTAATAAACATTGTCATGGCTTTTATTTTTCACAGCCACCTATGCGTTATAGACTCATTTTGCATTCAAATGAAAATAGGTTGATATGCTGTAATTGCAACATGTGTTATTTTTATGCTGCAAATTTGATTAGGGAGTGATAAAGTTGGTGTTTTCTACTATGTATTATCAAAATATTCATTGTTAATATTTTAATCCTATAACACCCTGCTACATTTTTATTATTTGTATTTGATAAGAAAAAAACTAAGATTTCAATAGTTGGGCCAAGTGAAGTTTGAAGAGGCTCGTAGGAATGTGAAAAAGGAAAAAAGATACAAAATGCCACCTGGACGATATAAAGCATAACATATTGTCTTAGAATTGTCAATTGTACTTGAAAAAGGTCACAGTGGTGGTCGAAATGTCGTTTAATAAACAGAAATCTAAACACATATGTGGTATATACATGTATTTGGTCAGACTATGGAGTCCTAGGTATATACAAATACTACTACTTGTTTTCAGCCGCAAATTTATCTTTTTTATTA